TATAATTTTTTTTTTAAATGAGTACCTGTTCTTTATTTTGTTAGGTTTATTAGTTTTCAATTTAATTTTTGTGTTTATTTATTTATTATGTACAAAACAATAAATCCTAAAGTAAATCATAATGCATTTATTTCATAACCAAATAATATTCTTTCAATAATAATAAAACATATTTATTTGATTAAAGGAAAGGAACATCTCAAATTGAATTAATTTTTGTGGTTAAGACTGAGTTTTTTTATATTACATTTGAGATATGGATAACCTTCTTGTACTTATTTGATTATTTAACTTTTATGTTAATTAAATTGTTTCTAACTAAAACTATATGAAATCTGAAAAAATGTTACAGTGAATATTTCTATAAATAAATGAAATAAACACACTTATTATACTTTTCATGGACTAAGATCTGGTTTGTAAAATTGAAAATAAAAATTGCAATTTATTTTATTGGTATACATTATTAATGGTTTGCATTAACATTTTACAATGTGAAGGAATACAGAATAATCCTATAAATCAACACCCCTCAAACAATGTCGTAACTCAAGTTTATAATTTAATTTATATAACAATTGGAATGTCCTATCTTCAACTTCTGTTTTAAACTTCAATTGCCTTCAAACGACAAAAGAATCCATTTATATCAAAATATGCTTCAGATAAATCCAGTCCTGTTTTACAGAGTTCGAGATGCTTTTAGGTGGTCCTTCCACATGAATTCACACTTGCGCTAGGGTAGAGGTTCCCAACCTTTTCTGGACCGCTGCCCTTAAAAAAAAAAAAATCCAACGCCCCTCTGAAACATAAAACAAAAATTACTTTTTTACAGAAATCTTAATAAAAAACAAGTCGTAATTTTGTTAATGAACTATTGAAATATTGTTGCATATTATCGGTATATTATTTATCTGATTATTTATCTATTAAAAATCATAAAGTAGAAATTAACTTTTTATCTTTGGTGTTTTATATTCTTTTAATTTTTTCCTACTCTGATGGCTTGCGATGAATTGACAGTACCACTATTACGTATAAATATGTAAAGACTTATTCTTTTTAAAATAAAATATGAACTAGATAGTATGTCTAGTTATGGAGGTATTGTAGATAATTTGTTCGCAGACTTTTTATCTTTAGAGTTTTTTTATATTCTTTAATTTTTTTCCTACTCTTTGACGGCTTGCGATGAATTGACAGTACTACTATTACATATGGATATATAAGGTATGAACTTGATAGTATGTCTAGTTATGGAGTTACTGTAGATAGTTTGTTGGCAGACGTTTTATTTTTACAGTTTTTTTATATTCTTTTAATTTTTTCCTTCTTTTTGACGGCTTGCGAAACATTGACAGTAACTTTTTTAGTGAGGCTTATGAATAGATTAAATCGTGTTAAAATATCAACTTGATAGTATGTCTTGTTTTGGACTTATTTAAGATTATTTGTTGGCCGCGATATATCAGAATCTTAAAAAGACCAATTTTTAATTTCTCTTGATTACAAATTTTCTTAAATCTGGTTCAATATCTATTTCATGGTTTATATTTGTTTAAAATGTTCTTACTTCTACTGGTTATTTAATAATTACAGCAATATTTATTTAATAAAATTTATTAACTTGGAACCGACGCCACTGTTCAGTCGGGTTCCTTCGCCATTTTGGCTGCCAAGTTTGGTCTGCTAAGTTCACACCAGTCAGGTTTTTAAAGGTAGAAACTTGAAAATTGGAATTATAGTCACTTTTCATAAATAAATTATTATATATTTCAGGGTTTTGGGATTTTCACATATTAAGGGATCAAACGGGGGTGAGAGTTTGTATGGAGTATCGGTTTTTTAAAAGTAAAAACTTGAAAATTGTAATTGTAAGAATTTTTTTATTTTTATAAATTAAGAGGAAGAATAAAAGTTTGTATGGGGATATCGATTTTCTAAACGTATATAGGATCTTGAAAATTGGAATTGCAACTGCTCATTATAAATAAATATTGATGTATTTCAGGGTTTCTGATTTTCACATTTTTAAAGTGGAAAACGGGGGGTGGAAGTTTTTATTGGTGTATCAATTTTTTTAAAAGTAGGAACTTTAAAATAGGAATTGAAGCTACTCATCATAAAAAAATAACAAGGGAGGGGGTGTGAATTGGAAATGAAATAAATAAAAATAAATAAAAATAAATAAAAATAAATAAAAATAAATAAAAATAAATAAAAATAAATAAAAATAAATAAAAATAAATAAAAATAAATAAAAATAAATAAAAATAAATAAAAATAAATAAAAATAAATAAAAATAAATAAAAATAAATAAAAATAAATAAAAATAAATAAAAATAAATAAAAATAAATAAAAATAAATAAAAATAAATAAAAATAAATAAAAATAAATAAAAATAAATAAAAATAAATAAAAATAAATAAACATAAATAAAAATAAATAAAAATAAATAAAAATAAATAAAAATAAATAAAAATAAATAAAAATAAATAAAAATAAATAAAAATAAATAAAAATAAATAAAAATAAATAAAAATAAATAAAAATAAATAAAAATAAATAAAAATAAATAAAAATAAATAAAAATAAATAAAAATAAATAAAAATAAATAAAAATAAATAAAAAAATAAATAAAAATAAATAAAAATAAATAAAAATAAATAAAAATAAATAAAAATAAATAAAAATAAATAAAAATAAATAAAAATAAATAAAAATAAATAAAAATAAATAAAAATAAATAAAAATAAATAAAAATAAATAAAAATAAATAAAAATAACTAAAAATAAATAAAAATAAATAAAAATAAATAAAAATAAATAAAAATAAATAAAAATAAATAAAAATAAATAAAAATAAATAAAAATAAATAAAAATAAATAAAAATAAATAAAAATAAATAAAAATAAATAAAAATAAATAAAAATAAATAAAAATAAATAAAAATAAATAAAAATAAATAAAAATAAATAAAAATAAATAAAAATAAATAAAAATAAATAAAAATAAATAAAAATAAATAAAAATAAATAAAAATAAATAAAAATAAATAAATAAAAATAAATAAAAATAAATAAAAATAAATAAAAATAAATAAAAATAAATACAAATAAATAAAAACAAATAAAAACAAATAAAAACAAATAAAAACAAATAAAAACAAATAAAAACAAATAAAAACAAATAAAAACAAATAAAAACAAATAAAAATAAATTAAATTAAAATAAATAATAATTAATAGATTTGAAAAATAAATAAAAATCAATAAAAATCAATCAAAATTAATAAAAATTAATAAAAATTAATAAAAATTAATAAAAATTAATAAAAATCAATAAAAATCAATAAAAATCAATAAAAACAATAAAAAACAATAAAAAATAAAAAACAATAAAAAACAATAAAAAACAATAAAAAACAATAAAAAACAATAAAAAACAATAAAAAACAATAAAAATCAATAAAAATCAATAAAAATCAATAAAAAACAATAAAAAACAATAAAAATTAATAAAAATCAATAAAAATCAATAAAAAACAATAAAAATCAATAAAAATCAATAAAAATCAATAAAAATCAATAAAAATCAATAAAAATCAATAAAAATCAAATCAATAAAAATCAAATCAATAAAAATCAAATCAATAAAAATCAATAAAAATCAATAAAAATCAATAAAAATCAATAAAAAATCAATAAAAATCAATAAAAATCAATAAAAATCAATAAAAAATCAATAAAAATCAATAAAAATCAATAAAAATCAATAAAAATCAATAAAAATCAATAAAAATCAATAAAAATCAATAAAAATCAATAAAAATCAATAAAAATCAATAAAAATCAATAAAAATCAATAAAAATCAATAAAAATCAATAAAAATCAATAAAAATCAATAAAAATCAATAAAAATCAATAAAAATCAATAAAAATCAATAAAAATAAATAAAAATCAATAAAAATCAATAAAAATCAATAAAAATCAATAAAAATCAATAAAAATCAATAAAAATCAATAAAAATCAATAAAAATCAATAAAAATCAATAAAAATCAATAAAAATCAATAAAAATCAATAAAAATCAATAAAAATCAATAAAAATCAATAAAAATCAATAAAAATCAATAAAAATCAATAAAAATCAATAAAAATTTATAAAAATCAATAAAAATCAATAAAAATCAATAAAAATCAATAAAAATCAATAAAAATCAATAAAAATCAATAAAAATCCATAAAAATCAATAAAAATCCATAAAAATCAATAAAAATCAATAAAAATCAATAAAAACCAATAAAAATCAATAAAAATCAATAAAAATCAATAAAAATCAATAAAAATCAATAAAAATCAATAAAAATCAATAAAAATCAATAAAAATCAATAAAAATCAATAAAAATCAATAAAAATCAATAAAAATCAATAAAAATCAATAAAAATCAATAAAAATCAATAAAAATCAATAAAAATCAATAAAAATCAATAAAAATCAATAAAATCAATAAAAACCAATAAAAGTCAATAAAAATCAATAAAAGTCAATAAAAATCAATAAAAGTCAATAAAAATGAAATATCTTATAACAAATAAGTGAAACTTCTTGAATACTGTCCCGATTCTCGACAGCCGACAGCCTAAGGGCTCCTTTTCTCACGGAGTTTTATTTGGCCTTTTATTGATTCAATTCTGTAAGTAATCTGGTGATATTAGCAGATAAGAGCCATACCAGAAATGTGGTATACAAAGACAATATTAATTAGATTATTATACCGCTCTATAAAATTCCTAAATATATATCTCAAAAGTATATCTGTGTTCCAATTACCTTATTTTTTAAGTATTAATATTTATTTATCGTTTTTTTAACTATTTTATTTTCTGGCTTGACAACAATAATTAAAAATAAAGTAATAACCTTGTTTGATGTCAACATGAAACAAATTGTTAATTTTCATAAAGAAATATTTTTTTTTCCAATATCTAGATGTAAAATGCGAATATTTTAACCCTGGAGGATCAGTTAAAGATCGCATTGGAGCGAGATTAATAGAAGATGCTGAAAAACAAGGTCTTCTCAAACCAGGATACACTATTATCGAACCATCATCAGGAAACACAGGAATTGGTCTTGCTATGGCAGCAGCAATTAAAGGTAAGTTATTTATGTCAACAAAAATAAGTTATTATTCAATAGATAATTAAATAATCTTAATCTACAAAAATATTGATGACTTTTTCAAAACAGTACACCTACATGTATTTATTAAATACCGATTTGAATAAAAAATAAAATAGGCGATCGTAGGATACCCTCTTTATTCAATGAAACAATTGATGCTTTATTTGCACAATAAAAATTAAATCGGAGATATATATAGAATTAAATATCAAAACGTAGTAAGCGCCAAATGATAACTGTTTATTTTATGCTGATTAGTTTAGCTTAAACCTAAAAACAAAAATTGGTTTTATGGTCCGATAACTGCGGAGGGCGCAACAAGAACTAGGGCGTTTTAGTTGTTTATATCAATCTGGTTGCCAAAGAGTATTTCGATGAAATAGTGCTAAGCTAAACTAATACACATATAAATTGTCACATACCACCTTTTGCATATGTCACCCTTCATTTGTGATTGGGTTTGGTTGGTTTATCTTATAGATAATGGTTCTGAGTCCAGCGGATCCTTGAGCTCAGCGGGAATGGGAGGCCTTGAGAGTTTTCTTTTGGGTTTGCGGAATAGTGGGAGGCGCCAGGGGTTTGTAGAATGTTTTGAGAATGTGTGTTTGCACTTTTCAGAGTGCTAGAGACATATTGTTTCCTGAGGGTTTGGAAACGAAGGAAAGTGTCAGGGTTGCATCGTCTAAATCGTCCACACAAAGCTCCAAGGAGACTGGCTCGCCGTTGCATATTATTAAGAATGCATTGAGCATCAGAAGACCGGTTGAAAGTGTGAGAGAATCGTATTTCCAAATAGTCTGTTTGGCGAGTCTGACTCCCAGGAGATTTACATTAACGTTCTGGGGAAGCTGGGTGGCTCTTTGTGAATTTGGATATTTAAAAATGATAAATTGTGGCTCGAGACCTTCATCTATTACACCAGCGGGAGTACTGGTTCAGTAGATTTTGAGTTCGAATATTTAGTTGGTCGGAATGTTTAGCTACCGAGGGCAGAACAGTATCATCGAAATAGAGAAGAGGTTTAGGAAATGGGCCATGACGCAGCAGCTCCAGAAAATTGGGGGAAATTAGGTCTGACAGGGCGTTGTCTACTTTGACTGTGATAGTTCTGTTAGTGAGGTATGAGTGTATACGTTTGGAGGTATCGAAGGGGAGACATATTCATGAGCTTTTTGACTAGTCCAGAATGCCAGACTTGGTCAAAGGCTTTTTGAACATCAAGAAGAATGGCTGAAGAAATTTTGAGAGTTTCTGTAACTGCAGTAGTATGAAGTGAGGATAATGCGTTCTGAGTGGAGAGATGAGGTCTTAAAACGTGTTGGTATTGAGGAATTATGTTTCGTTCTTCACAAAAGTTCCAGATTCTTTCCTTGAGCAGAAGTTGAAGAAGTTTATCTAATACTGTTATGAGGTAGATAGGACAGTATAAGTCTAAGGATTTAGAGTCTTTATTTGGTTTTAGAATCAAAATGGTGTTTGCGGATTTTAAGGCAAGCGGAAAGTGGGAAAAGGAGAGGCAGACGTTCAGGAGTAGGGGAAACATAGTTGCAGGAACATGTTTCAGCGGTCTTCAGTGTATAGAATCGTGTCCAGAGGTTAAATAGGGAGATGATACGGCTTCCGACATCTAGTGGTGAGACTGGAGCGACAAGCGTCTGATGGACATTGACTTCAGTCTCCTGTCAGAAACAGTCGTCAAAGTAGGCCTTTTTGGAAGTTCTGAATATGGCTTCAAGGTGCTAAGGATTTCTCGTCGGAAGTTGTGTATATTTCACCCTCGATTTTGAATGTGTTTCGGATATTTGATCAGTGATGATTCGGAATTTGCCCCAAAACTTGTAACTAACTTTATGATCCAAATTAGAGGTAGTATTGGTCCATGTTTGCTGTGTGTGTAAGTTTATTTGGAGTCTGATCAGGGCGTTGAGATGGTTCCACTCGATTTTGATAACAGGGTCGTGCGTACGGACATATTGTTTATACAATCTGCATTTTTGGAGAATGAGATTTAGGATAAATTGGGGGAGAGCTTTTTATGATGTATTGATGTAAGTAATTGCGGCGCATTAGATAGTCTTGTCGCTTATATGCGCGCGTTGAAATCGTTTCAGTGTTCGCAAACTGGGTTTGTTGTGATTCAGGCACGGATTTATAAACCGAACTCAAGTGAGTTCATCCTTGAACGAAAATCGAACTTCGATTGTAACTACCCTAAGTGCGAGTGTACACAACGATAATCTGTCCAATAGTGTATTAATCGAATCGGACTAACAGCACTGTATGTGTTACAAGGTTTCCCTGCAGTCATAGCAAATGTGTCGTTTGTATCAGTAAAACGTCCTAGCCACTCAATACGGGTGTCATCAAATTGGTACTACATAAAATACTTTTTTTTTACTTTGTTATATATTGCAATGTATATTAAATGTAAATTTCCATATATATGATGTGATGTCCCTGTACAAGTAAAGAATTTGAATTTGAGATGTTGGACCAGTATCATCACTTGTGCTATGATCTAATGATTAGTGACTTATCTGGTTGACAATTTTAATATCACTTACCTTAAATAATTAATTTTTGCTCATTTTCGAATATTATTTATAAAAATAATGTATAAGTAATGGATCAAACGAAGTGAGACAACGGAAGGTCATTTACTTTCAAAAAAAAAGTATAAGAAAGAGGGCTGAATATATTCACTTTCATAGTAAAATTCTGTTCACCAATGAAATGTGCTTTATGTGAACATGTGTAGTTGATAAACATTCACATACCATCAGACAACGCGATTTTCAACATGGGTTTTGTCTTAATGTATGGGCAGGAATAATCGGCGAACATCTCATAGGTCCCATTTTTATTTGTTAGGTTGAATGGAGAAATATACCTAAATGTTCTTCAGGAGACATTACCGTTTTTATTAGAGGATTTGCCATTACTTTTTATTGGTTTTTACAGGATGGGACACCTTCTCATTTTACATTGAATGTGCAGAACCAAATAAATAACTTATGGAAAACCCTGCATATTTGGATTGTGCTACTAAGATAGTGTTCTTTGAGTCCTAATCTAGCGCCTTGGCTTCGGATTTCTGGACTCAGCAATAAAGTACGCCTTCTACTCTTATTAATAAGATAATTTAGTATTATTAATGATAACTACATATTATGTTTTATGTAATAATATTTTTGACGTTTAAAAGTATTTAATGCATTTAAAACAGCTTTATTCCTTGTTTTACTAATTAGGTATTATTTGTTTGTAAGTAAAATCGTAGCCTTAGAATAAGAAGGATATGTATTTGATTTTTAAGAACGTTCACAGCAATTGTTAGTCTTTTTCTCAAAATTCAGAGAGAATACTTCCAAACAAAACAAAATTTAAATCTACCATTAACAATTAATATTAAGAACTATTTTTAGATCTGTGAAAAGTTTTTTATTATACCCTCTCGAACTTTTATAATATCTCTACCGTAAAGCGAGATGTACCTAATATCCTAATAAAATTATGATTTTATGTTAAATCAAAATTTAAATTGACTCTTTCGGTTCAATTCGTAATTTAAATTATTTATTGAATAGGTTACAGATGTATTATAGTCATGTCTGAGAAAATGTCCAACGAAAAAGTATCTGTTCTATCAGCGCTAGGAGCTGAAATTGTACGCACTCCGGTAAATGCAGATTCAAACTCGGCAGAAGGCATGTTTGGCACGACTTACAAATTAAGGAAAGAAATTCCAAATTCCGTTATTTTGGATCAAGTAAGGCTCATTTTTTAATTTCTTATAATAATTAAATAATTTTCAACAGTTATATTGAGAAAAGTTTACTTTTTAACATTTTAACTGAACTTGATATTATTAATAGATGCTTGTTTACTAATAGATAAAAGATTGTCCCTGAAAATTGATTTAACGGATGGATATAGGTTGGTATTTAGTGAAAAAATATATTAATAATTATATTGCATGGTAAATACCAATTGGCCAAAAAATATCCATTAGGACTGGTTCAAAAAAACTTTCAGAATAATTAATTTTACACTTATACAAAGAAATCTAATTAATAAAAAAATTGGACCGTACAAATAATGCAACAAAGAATAATTGTCTTTTACCGTTTTTAATACTCCTTTCACGATCCTTCTTTCCTCTTCAGCTACTTTAACTGCCTCAAAAGTCCTTTCCTAATTCTTGTCACTGCTTCTGTCACCTGTTGACTAAAAATAAAAGTAATGTATTTGACATTATCAGATCACAGGGATATAGTCGCTCATCTGACTGCAAATTAGCATGTCGTGTTTTTTGCTTGATATTTGTAGTTGGGTACAAGGGAGTAGGGTGAACAACATGTACTATTTTCCGATAGTGGGAACGGCCATGTGATCTGTGAAATTCAAAGTAAAATTGCTATGGATTTTTTCGTTTTTTTGATGGCAATGAAATATATGCTTTTAGACGTCAATAACAATAAAGTATTTTCTGTTGTTTGGTTTTACTACTTCCGGTGTAGGGATTTAGAAAAACCCCGTTTAAGCTGTAGTCCGAATTTCGTTGAAAAAGGTTAATATCTGGTTACGTGGCTGAAATTCCTACACCGGAAGTAGCAATACCGAACGATAAAACATTTTTGCAAAGGGATTTTTTTTATTGTTATTAACATCTAGAACCATCTGTATCTGTAATGTGTGGAGGGTGGATTAGCCCACGGTACTTAGGCCTCATTAGGCCCATTGTGCATCCTCTTGAGAAGATAGGCACCTCCTAGCTCGTGAGCCAGCCTACAGATTTAATGTAGTTGACAACGTCGCCAAGAGGTGCTTCTCTTATATCGGCCGGTGTTAGCCGATACTCGCCAAACACAAATCTAATAAATGAGAGCGTCGAGCAATCGTAAAGGATATGCTCGATGGTCTCATCTTCTTGTTCGCACCCTCTGCAGAGTTCGGATTCTGACAGCCCCATGATATGGAGATGCTTTCGTACTTGGCAATGACCAGTCAGAATGACTGTGATCTAGAACCATATGTTTCATTGCCAGCAAAAAACGAAAATTATCTTTGTTATCATTCACTGGATTTAATATGGCTCTTTGGATACTGTACAACATAAAGTCTTAGGTCCATATTCCAGGTCAGTTAATACCTTAATTAGGAAAAACTGTTTCTAAAGTAGGTCTTGATTGACGGACAGAGATACGAGTCATCCGTGATAACTATGTAGGACCACGAATTAAGTCCAAATTGTTATTAAAAAAGAAGAAGCATTGTACACAAGAATAACAGAATACCCGATCTTACCTAAAATTAAAGACCTTTATGCAAGAATGGGATAAGTGACAATTTTTCAAAATAACTCCTCAGTTTCATTACGGCATAAAGCATTAAACGATTTTTAAATATACAGTTTTTCTACTTTAATTTCAAAAATTACTCACCCTATATACAGTACTTATTATTTTGTATTAGGCATAGACGTGCTTTCTCAGCGAACATGTGGCAACTACGATATTTCCGCTATCGCTAGCTTTGTGACTGATATTCGGTTCGGCTAATAACCCATCACCATTCTAGTCGACGACAGGACGACTGGCTGTTGTCACGTTGCCATTTTCTTAACTTATATACTAGTCGTATGCCTAACATGAAAAAATAAGCACTGTAGTTGTTTTCCAAAAAGGTTGGCATTGTATATTGGCAGTCACAAATATCTTAGAGAGTAAAACCGGAACTTTTAATATTTATGAATATCAGCAAAATAACGTTCGTCTTACAGTATTTTTGAAAATTATGGACACTTTTAATCAGGAGGTCAAAAACTGCAATATGTTTAAAATTCAAGAGATTCGACTGAAAGCCATTTGTCATAAGGGAACTGCGGGGCCCTTTATATATGTTTCACGAGCTTCTACAAAGCATACGCTATCGTTTGGTGCAAAAACGGGACTATTATGTTAATAAACACCGAAATTATAAGTACTTTTGAATTGTCTCCTTCCCAAATTTGGTGCATAAACGGTCATAATAACTTGCACCAAACGAACTGTCATTGTTTTTTTTTACATTGACGTTAAAATGAAGACTTATCTCGTTCTTGCACCAAATAAATATTTTTGCAATTTTTTACATTTATTGTTTTAATAAATTAGCATAGGTCTTATTTTTATTCAAAAACAAAATGTACCCTCCTGAACATTTTTAAAAAAGCGACTTGTCCCCTTCTTTCATCAAAGTCTTCAATAATTATATTATCAATTCATTTTTTTTAGAATTAGAATAAAATGAATTTTTTTAAAAAAAATTTCAATCAAATCAGTATGTAGTGTTATTTTTAATTTTTGCAGTATTCAAATCCTGGAAACCCTTTGGCTCACTATGATACTACTGCCGAAGAAATTTACGAACAATGTGACAAAAATGTAGACATGATTGTGAGTAAAAAAAAAAAACATTTTCCTAATATGAATGAATATAGTTGTAAATATCTTGAGATCTCGGTTGCTTGTTCTCATTTGAGTTCTTAAAAATATATTGTTAGCTTTTTATTCTAATTTTGATGCCCTCTATGATTAACTATGTCGTATTATTTTAGATCATTGGTGCAGGTACTGGTGGGACTGTTACAGGAATAGGCAGGAAATTCAAAGAAATATCTCCACATACCAAAATTGTAGGCGCAGATCCTTTGGGGTCTGTACTAGCTCTACCAGATTCACTAAACCGGACAGAAACTGATTTTTATGAAGTTGAAGGGATTGGCTACGATTTTGTACCTACCGTACTAGACAGAAGTGTGGTAGATTTGTGGATTAAAACAAATGATCAAGAATCACTCCCTATGGCGAGGAGGCTAATAAAAGAAGAGGGGTTGTTAGTTGGTGAGATTCATTTATACAGAAATACATAAATATGTAAGATTGGATGTATATGCTTTTTTTGTAATTGATGAATTGACTTACTAAAAAAATGTTTTGCCAGTTAAAATTTAACAATAGTTGTGATTAGTGAATTTAATTTTTGTGGAATTCAAATTAAACAAAAAAATCGACCAATTTGACAGCCTTCTATTCACTCCAGGTTTTCGAGAAAAAATTGTCAAAATAATCTTAATTTGTAGCGAATAGGGTAGAACCAGAGATAACAGAGATATAACCATTCATTGATAAAATATAATATTCACGATGCCAAGATTAATTCGACAGTCGATAACCTCTATTTGTAGAGAAGAATTTTACGCAGATACAACTTATTTTTATCAATGAATAAATGTAAGCCGCTGTTCGGTTATAATAAACAACGTAAATATCCATGCCGGTGTAAGCCCTGTTGTCACTTCCAACCTAACATGAGTAGGTTTTGGAATTTATTGAAAATTATTACATCTAATTTAGTTAAATTTAATATAACTAATGCTTCAAAATTTTTTGGGTTCAGTTGCAATAAAATAGATTAAATTATTTTAGCTTTTTTAATATATGTAAATAATTTTTTAAACGGGTGGGTGGCTCAATGGTAGAGTATCTGCCTGTAGATCCAAGGGTCCCAGGTTCGAATCCCACCGTTGGCCGGGATTTTTTTATTTAAAATTAATTCTGATGCCTTGGTAGGATTCCCCACTCGACCATTCACTGTTGGGTTCTTATTAACAGTGCTGTTCCTAAAGTGGCGCTGGGAAACAGTAACAACGAGGCTAATGGCCTTAGATGCCGATGACACCAAATTAAAAAAAAAAAAAACGAGAATAATGAAATAGGCATATGACAACAGCAGATATTATACCCGCCTGTGTCCCTTAGAATACGTCTTATTCAGGACCGCACGATATTTGTTAGTAGTTACATATCCTCGTTATCTCTGGGTAGAACACTGAATAAAAAAATGCTGCAAGGGCAATGCTCTTAGTTGGGTCATATATACATTTTGAGAGCAATTAAACTACTTTTTGACTTTTGGTTTCGATTTTACGCCTATTTCAAAAAATACCACGCCTTTTGTCAGGTTATAATTTTTTTGCATATCAGTCCTTTTGATGACTCAAAAAATGCTTGCCATATCTTCTTGGACTGAGAAAAACCGCGTTTAAGCTATATCCCAAATTTCGTTGAAAAGGGTAAATATCTGCTCACGTGACTGAAATCCCTACACCGGAAGTAGCAAAACCGGACGACAGAAAATGCTTGCAAATGGATTTTTTTGTTTTTGATATCTTGAAGCATATATTTCATTGCCAGCAAAAAAAGAAAAAAACATCGATAAGCAACTTTGAATTTCACAGGCCACATGACTGCTTCCACCACCTGGACATAGTACATGTTGTTCAACACTTCTCCCTTGTACCCAACTACAAATAACCAGCAAAAAGGAGATGTAATAGAGGTTTTTTTTCTCTACAAGTTAGCATGAAAATGTGAATTTAGCAAAAAGTGGAGTTACGAGGTTTGCTAATTAGGGTAACGACATCTCCTTTTTGCTGGTTATTTGTAGTTGGGTACAAGGGAGAAGTGTTGAAGAACATGTACTATGTTCGCATGAAAATGTGAATTTGGCAAAAGTGGAGTTACGAGGATTGCTAATTAGGGTAACAATGTGTCACTTCTTGTAATCAGCTGAGGAACTATAAAGAAAAAACTTAGGAAATTCATTTTTTTTTTAAATGATATGTCCAAATGTTGCCCGTTTTTCTCCTGGTATTCTTGAAATCGAGCTCTAAAATTTGTCATCACGCTTCGACAAGTTTCCTTAGTTATAGTTTCTATTTGTGCACGAATATTCTCCTTCAAGTGCCCCAGAATGGAATGGCGGTTTCGATACTCAACTTTTAAAATAGCCCCATAAAAAATCGCACGGATTCAAATCCGGGTTTCGGGAAGCTAATTTATGTCTCCTCTTTTCCAGGAAAAAGCGCCTGAACAATGGGCAAAGAGCGAATCGAAGTGTGATTGGTGGTTTCGTCTTGTTGATACCAGGTTTATTGATAAAATACTTCAAATTTTTGAAAACCAGATGTAAAAAAATTACGAATCATAACGACATCGTTCGGAATTTAACGTTTATGCGTTGCCGCGATCGTATATAAAAAATAATGGACCAATAATTCAAGATGCTGAAATGGCGGCCCTTTAGACTCTGTAAAGTCTTGTTATTTTCTTTTAGGGTTCATTTCATACTAGTAACAACAATTTTGTTTATTTACGTAGCTATTAATGTGGAAGTGCGCTTCAGCAAAACAAATGTCGAAATATGAAAACTGGTTTAACATTTCGTTGGCGAATTAAAGTCTCAGCATAGTCTCTCTGCTTCAATTCTTTCACTATCTGAATTTTGTAAGGATACATGAATACATATTTCTTGAGAATTTGGTGCTTTGAGGCTCTTGTCACATGCTTTCAAATATTTCGAACAAATAAGTTTGGATCTTGCCGCTTAGACGCTCTTATAATCTCAAGATTTTCAAGGCTTCTCACTGTTCTTAAATTGTTGGTTATGCGTTTATTCACTGGTAAACTACGATTCCCTTGATTAAATTAATGCCTGGACATTGTTCAATGTCGTGCAAATTGTAATGTCGCCTAAACAAATGTTGAACGAGTGTACAAGAATTGTTGTTTCAGTTAAAATCGCGCACACAAAAAGCACGTTGTTCTTTCTCGTAACGCTGCAAGTTGACTAAATTTTCCTAGACCAAGGTTCCGTTTAAGACCAACCCCACCCTTCCAACCCACCTAACAACTTTTCTACAGGGCAATAAAAAGTTAAAAACCAAATAACATTCCAGAATGTCACTAGATTGATATGTGGGCGTAGAAAAATAATTATTTATAAACATTTCAGTTATAAACATAGTTCCGATAAGCAAATAAAGCTAACAAGAATTGAATATTTTTTTTAGTTTTTATAGGAAAAATTGATCTTATCAATCTGGTTGTTCGTTTTTATCTGTAATTAATATTGCACGTGTGGGATTTTTTAAGGGTAATAAATACATGATTCAATCCAAGTAAATTAGAGAACATTTTGCTTTACTTTATTTTTACAGGTTCAAGCAGTGGTGCTGCTTTAGTGGCGGCTGTGAAAGCGGCAAAACATCTTGAAGCTGGCAAAAAAGTCGTGGTTATTCTTCCAGATAGCATTAGAAATTATATTACTAAGTTTGCTTCAGATCAGTGGATGGAAGCAAGAAATCTCATGACACCTTTAAACACATTGAATCATTGGTAATTAATAATAAATTCCTACATATTAAATGCTGTTATACTTTTTATTTTTTATTGTTAATGGATTCTATAAATCTTAAAATGACTGTCGATTTAAGTAATTTGACAATGTTTGTGCTGCTGAATTATCATCAACTTGATGTCTGAGGTCGACAATTATCGATAGTTTTTTCTGTATTTATATTGCCAATGGCTTTACTAATAATTTTTTTATAGAATACTGACAATTAGTGACAAACGACAACATTTAAAAGACTACAACATTTACTCTTCAAAGAAAAATGATTTCTGATTACATTGCCTCTAATTAATGATACATTAGCAACCCAGGTAAAGGCAATTGAAACGTTAAAAATATCAAAGGGGCTGCTACTTTTAGCAAATTTGAACATATAGCATGGAAGAAGCTAGCGTCAACGGGCACAAACATGGGCGGCGCCACACGAGGGCAAGGGGGGGCGTCTGTCACCCTGGATTTGTGATTTTTTATATTTCGACATGCTTTCCGGCTACAGCCTGTGGCGTTTTGACCCTGCCTATAAGACTTGCCCCCGCCCCCCTGGAATTTTTGAGAATTGTGCCTGTGGTAGCAAGGGGCCTCCAGTTGTAGGTAGCAAATGCGAGTATATAATTGTATAATGCATATTTTGATTAGATGTAAAAATGAGCGTATAATATAAAATAATGACAATCTATCATAATAATAAATAATGTAATTGTAACATAGTAACGTTACCAGGTTCATTCAAGGTGAGCTTAACCTTTATCTGCTGCCACAAAATTAAAATGTCACCACGCAGCGCCCAAGGACACAGTATATCAATGGAGCAAAGTTCTAGATACATTATGTGAGGTTTATCTACATAGGTGGCAGTTGGGTAAGTGCCAGTTACAAGAATTCTGTTTAATGTTCTTGGCACATTTTATACTATTTCAATGCTTCAATTTTATATTATTTGTTCATGTAAACGCCCATAATATACGTAAACCGCAATTGATTTGCAGTTTCCTGGCACTTTGTTTTGATTGGTGAATAGCTAATCAACTGGTCAAATTTACTGATCGTGAACAATTTGATTAGTTAAAAAAAAATAGTTTTGAAAACTTTATCGATAGTCAGGACTATCGATAGTTCTCGACCTCTGCTTAAGGCATTTAGAATATTGTAATTCTCATTCATTTTTTTATAGGTGGTGGGACAAGAATGTAACTACACTAGATTTAGAACCGCTGAAAGTTGCTACTACTAGTATGACATGTGAAAAAGTATTGAATTTAATAACTAAAGCCAAATTGGATCAAATTCCAGTTGTTGATGGTGTCGGGTAAGTGTGAAATATTTAATATTTACAACTCCAGAGCATATTAGACTACAGAGCCGTCTTAGTTATTTACAAAACACAGATATCTTTGAAATTTGTTTCTTTCCAGTAATTTTATTTTTTTCGTTTCCTTGGTACTAGAAAATTACCTACTCAAATAGGTCACACGCCTCTTAATTTTTCAGTACCACACTCAGGTTATTTATTTTTTATGCAGACCTGGATTATAAATTGTATTTTATTTTTACAATTTTTTACCACAAATGCAATCATCTAAATTTCATAGTGTTTTTCTGTTTACACTATTAGGTAACGTTTAACCGCAGATTACTGCTGCTCCTGTGATCGGTGTTAGTGTGCAGAAATTTTTTCTTAACTATTCGTCGTAGCCCAATGTGTCTGGTTACTAGTATTTATGGACCCTCTGCTTGAGATCCCAAACCATGTTAATTTTTCAATTAATTTGCATAATTCGTTGTAGGATTTGCTGGGTGCCATATTAGCAGTAATTTAATTTCTGTTTATATAACATCCAGTGCGTTACCATTTCAACAATCTGTATAATGCCCCACACCGCCACGGATATTAATATTAATAGCTGTCCCTTTTTCTGTTTTCTGCTCTAACTCCTGACTTTTTGTACTTCATGTGCTCCTGCCTGGTCCTCTCTTGCTGTTTTCCTCTACTTTCTCCTCTTGCTCCTCCTTCTGACGAACTCTTTTTCCTGCTAAGTTCTCTTTCCTATTCCACTTATCTTTAATTTAAATAAAACTTTCTTCATCCTTCTTTTTATTTATTTTTATTATTTTATCTCCGCGATATGAAATCTTTAACTTTAATATTTATCTATCTTAACTTCAATATAATATTTGACTTTCTTTTTTTAATTTCCCAACTAACCATTCTAAAACCCTCTGTCACTCTTCCCAAAATATATGACAGTTCCATTAATTTTCAAAATCCCACTACCATTGGTGTCACAACCTTAAGGCATTTCCGAATAACTTATTGACGCCAACGATACAGGATGAAAAAGATAAGAATATGTCAAATGACGGAATCATGACAATATATGTTTTAAAATATATGACTGTTCTTTTGAATATTTCTATCTGTATCTCTGCATCTTCCTAATACTTTTATTACTTTACTTTAACATTAAAATGAAAAGTTGTGCATATACGTTAATGATAAGTTCTAACTAATTTATAGAAGATAAGTGATACTCTCGTTTTTTGTTTGTTATTTACTAACTTACGAGGGTGGATCAATAAGTACCCGTGTTTGAAGGCAGGTGGCGTTGCTGAGGGAAGTTGGCATTACTGTCGTGTACTGTCATCTGTCACACGACACCATACTAAATTTAAAACTGATTCATAGGTTGGTTTTTATTTGGCAGCCACGTGTACCATACGTATTTCGCATTAATCGATAAAATGGAAAAGAACAATATCGATCCGTAATTCGCTTTTTATTTTTGGATGGAAAAACATGCGATGAAATAAAAGCAAAGTTGGATGCTGTCTATGGGGACAATTCACCATCTATGACAACCGCAAGACATGATTGTCGCAGATAGCCGAACGAAAGTGCGAGAAGTAGCAAAGGCCGCAGGCGTATCATGCGGAACGGCAATTAATATTTTGCATGATAAGTTAAACATGAGAAAGGTATCGGCCCGATAGGTGCCTCGATTGCTTACGGTGGACAACAAGCGGATACGGCTGTCAATGTCAAAGAAGTGTTTGGAGCTCTTTAATCGAAATTCGCAGGAGTTTTTGCATCGAGTCGTCACCGTTGATGAAACCTGGATACATTATTACATGCCAGAGACCAAACGACAGTCGAAGAGACTGTAATGGAAAAGTGAAGAGTTTTTGTTTGAATTTGTGTGTCCGTTTTCTTAACTTTTACTTTTAAAACGTTTATTAAACTATTTACAATATATACATTTCATCTCTACAGAATCATTTAAAAGACAATATAAAAATCTTTCTCGAGTCCTCCCATTTCTGATTGAACCCCGGCCTCTCTGCACTTTGTAGGGATTTAATATTTTAATCGTGAGAGACAGCTCCTTACCAGGCTGGTATTATCTGTCTTTTAATTATTGTTTATGCTATTTGCAGTGAGTGATCGTATTTAGTATTAGTTTGATTTTAATTTTGTATATTTTCTCTGAAAAAGCTATGTCGGCTTTTTTTAAAATCTTTATTCCTTGTGTACATATATTTATTTACAGTACATTTCAGCTATAGATGATAATAATAACATTCATTTAAGCTTGCTTCTAGGATGCCCATCCTGGAAGCGCCAACCCAAATTGACCCATAGGAATAGGCCATGTTTTGCGCGATTTGCAGTTTTGCAAAGTGTGTTTTAGCTATAGAGGAGAAGACTGGACTTCCGTATGTTAGAGTAGGCCTCAAGACTTGCCTGTATAAAAGGAGTTTGTTTTGTGTGGTTACCCCTTCGGTTACCCCACTATTTCTATGCAATAGGGCAGTGGTTGCCAAACTCTCAATGTGTTGAGCTACTTTGTTAATTTTGGAATAAACAGCGAGCTACCCACACGGAAGCCACGTAACGCAACGTAAATGAAATAATCCACAGTTAATTTATCATTATATGTATTTATTTTACTATTTAACTGGTAATACATAATACATAGGTACTAATAATAAACTAATAACTAATATTACTAGTACGTACTTGTTCATAGCTACATTCCTACCTACCAAACGAAGGTGTTTGAAAAATAAACACAAACTTTTATCCAGCCAAAACGGCATGTCACGTAAGATTTAAAAATAGTTAATAATAACAACAAAAAAGTAACGCACTATCATGAACATAAACATTGAAAAATAAAAAAGCACGTTCAATGAGAAGGCTGACACTCAGACTCATCGATAATTTTTTTTATGTTTGCAGTATAATTTGATACAGCCATTCGAATACAATTATCCAAATGTTCATCTGTAAGTCGATTGCGATATTTGTTCTTAATAAACTTCATATTGGAAAAAGAAGATTCACACAAATAGGTTGAACTGAATAATGCTTTCACTTTCAAGGCAACACGGCATAGAACTGAATATTTGTCTTTACTTACAATAGGCCAGATACATTTGGTACTTGAGACTAACGATTTTAAGGCTAAATCATTTTGAAACTCAATTACTTCCATTTCTGTTGCAACGATGTCTTCGCCAAAGTTCTGCATAACACAAGTTGCAAACTATTGGATATCAATTTCCATAAAGGGTGAAACAACAAACTGCGCTACTAAAGCCATTTCGTTGAAATCCTTAAAACGATTTTTGAAGTTATTCTTCAGGGTAGGAACTATTTCTACATGATATTTGCTGTCATAGGGTTCTAATGGATTTTGAGAATAGGAAAATGCTTGGCATCGCTAGTTCTTTGTCTTTCCCCTGAAGCTGCAAATTAAGTTCGTTTAATTTCTCTGTAATGTCCACGAGAAAACCAAAATCTCTAAGCCAGATTGAATTTTCTAGTTCCGTAGTCGGTTCATCGCGTTGTTTGAAAAATTGAACTATGCCAGATAGGACATCATTAAAACGTTTCAGCACCCGTCCTCTACTTAACCATCGGACTTCAGAGTTAAGGAGTAGGTCCCCGTATTGACAGTCAACTTCATCGGCCAATGTTTTGAATAATCTTCTCTGTAACGCTTGAGCTCTAATCTTGTTCACAATTTTTACCACCAGTTTCATAACGTTGTTTAGTTTCAGGAAATTTCCACATAATGCTTGCTGATGGATAATGCAGTGGTAACAGAGAAATTGCGGAAAAGTTTCATCTTTACGACATAACGCCACCAGACCCTTATCACAACCCACCATAGCTGGAGCGCCATCGGTTGTCAAGCCTACCATTTTCGATATTGGAATTTTCTCGGAATAAATAATATTTTTCAAATGAGAAAACAACTCCTGTCCAGTAGTGTGTCCTTTCAATGGAATATACTTCAAAAGATCTTCTTTAATCGTAAAATCACTAAAAACCATCCTGACGAACACGGCCATCTGGGCAGTGTCAACGACATCTGTTGATTTATCCATTTGAAGTAAAAAATAAACACAGTTATCTGAGTCAGTTCTTAACTGTAAAAAAATATCATTGCTCATTACTTCTACACGTCTCATCACTGTATTAGCAGAAAGTTGCATAGATTTTATAGCTGAAACTATCTCGTCTTTATTTCTAAAGTTGGCAAATAACGAATCCGCAGCTTCTAAAAACGCCTGTTTTATCATTTCCCCGTCTTCATAAGGTTTCTTTTTTTGTGCAATTATCTGGGACACACGGTACGATGCTTCAGTTGCAACCTGATTTTTGTCGACTGTTCATAAAAATATTGATTGTTGTCCAATTAACTGCTTTTTTAATTGTTTCAGTTTCTCCTTTCTGGCGGCAGAATGTAGTGGGAATGATTTTTCAAAATTAGAATGTGCAGTTTTATGATGTCTCTCAATATTTCCTTTTTTAGCAACGGAGACCGAAGTATTACATAACAAACACACATTTTTATCTTTAACTTCTGTAAAAAAGTATTGTTCTTCCCATTCCGAATGAAAATGGTATGTCTTTACCTTCTTACAACTGCTTGCCATAATATTATTTTTTGTTGTTCTCTACTAACCCAACCGCTGGACGTTGGTTACGCGTTCAGTTTTAAACTAAGCGCAATGTCGCCGCGCCGTGCGTATTTATCCCGTTCAAAGCAATCCTGATCGTTCTCGAACACTAACGCGCTGGTCCGGCTGGTCGGTTCTAGCCGATTCTAGCTTGATGACGTTTAATGTTTATGTTTAATATTATGACAATTAGATTTTTTTGTGGAATTTTCGGAAGCTTCTCTGATTTTTGCAGTTTGTATTTTTTAAATTAAAATCGTTGTGAGAGCTACCAGAATTGCCTCCGCGAGCTGGTAGCTCGCGATCGACAGGTTGGCGACCACTGCAATAGGGGATAGAAAGTTTTTATAGCTCCCGTGGTTTTGCTCACTCTGTCTGCAAGGAATTACATACTTTTTGTAAACAGAAGCAGTTCTCATTACCTCGACACTCCATACCTTGAATTGTAGAATAAAAGCACCTAAAAGCAACATATATTTTTTACAAACACATGACCACATTTTTTAATAAAATATTTATCACAGTGAACTATTTAGAAAACGGTCATTTGATTATGAGAGATAAGCCACAATTTACTAAACAGGTTTTGTGTTCTAGAACGATTGCGAGATTCAAAATTAATGTGAAACGTGCAATAATAAGAATAAAATGCTATATAATTCTCGATAATATAGCATCTAGTTTGTCAATTCATATTTATGAAGTTTGTGCTGCATAGGCAATTTTGCAATATTCATTAGCTGAACTACTGGTGCAAGAATACATTTTTCCTTTTTCTAGGAAAATATCTTTTCTGTGTGTCAAAAAATTGGGACTCAAAAAAATAATTGAAATTGACAAAGTCCTTATGTACATTTTTTATTTTATCAAAATTGAAGGTTTTACCTGAAAATAGTTTCTTTGAAAATTGAAATTTTATAATAATTCTAGTTTAATTAATAGCTCGTAAAGCAATTAAATAAATAATTATTTATATACCTAGTCAGCAAAGTGGTTCTTCATCGAACTAGTCTGAGAATATGAGCCGAGCGAGGCGAGTAACAGGCCAGTTCGATAAAGACACTTTGCTGACGTCCATTCAAAGTTTTATCGCCAATCGTAAATAATTATAATTAATAAAAAAGGAGATATTATAATATCACATTTTATTATGACAAAGTAAACAAAGAAAAAAAAAAAAAAACAGCGAATACAAAACAAATTAGTTACAGACTATTTCTGTCAGATGGTCATGGCTATGTTGATAAATATTAGTGATGTAAAATATTTTATTTTTACAGTGAGAAAAAGCGTTTGTTTACTTCCACAAATCGCTGGTAATTCATGGCTTTATTGACGGTTGGCGATAAAATATATTCATTTTTAAATTAATTGTTGTTACTTTTGTTCAATCTCTTTCGTATGATAAAATAAAAATGAATGTTTTTAGTGGAATGGTTGGTATGTTGACCTCACAATTTTTAATGGAGAAATTATTAACTGGAAGAATACAGTCAAACGAAAGCGTAGAAAAATGTATTGTTAGAATTTATCCAAAGGTCCAGAAGACTGTGAATCTCGGTGTTGTATCAAGAATTTTGGAAAAAGAACCTTATGTTTTGGTTCTTGATAAACAAGGTACATTTTATAAAATAAAAGTGAAATATATTTCTATTTAATTATTTTTTTAGGTGAAGTTGAAAAACCTTTAGGTATCGTTAAGCCCTTAAACTTGCTGCAATATATTCAGAAAAAGGAATAGGAATAATATTTATTTTTATTGTATTATTTTTATTGTCATCAAAATATTGTCTTATCTTTTTTGTAATATTTTTAATGATTGTTATTATCTGGTAACACATAAGCATTTTTTGAAATATTTGTTCTACCATTAATATTCAACTTAAATATAAGAAGGAAGATCTTTGGGATGAAATCTTTGGTAGTTTTTATTTCCAAGATACAGTGGATCTTCTACAATCAAGTAGGTAAAGTAAGCTTCTTGTTAAAGCTAAACTCGATGTAAAAAAGACATCTCTTTACTTAATAATATCTTAGAATAATTAATTCTGTGATATGTTTTAATTGTTAAAATTATTGGTATACATGCGAATTTAGAATGAATGAAATCAGCGATTTTCAATTAAAAGTTGTTACGAATCGATAGCTCATAACAACAATTTAAAAGTGCAATTGCTTTGATGGATTTGAAATAGTTGTCCTTTCTAATAGACTTAATAGCCAGCGCCCGCCAGACCTACGTTATATTATGAAGGGTAAGATTTTTTATGTGTGCAAATTATAGTAGATAATAACATTCTACCAGGTCTTCAACAATACCCGAAACCCACGTGATCTGATAACTATCAAACATCCATCGAAAGGGCCTGATTTGACGTAAAAGGAACTAAACTGAACTGTCAGTCCTGTCTGAAATGTCACTGGCGTTCATTTGGGGTCTGACAATATTTATATTATATTTGTTTACATTTTATAAACACCTTTATTCCATTTTTTATTTTAATATTAACAAAGCAAATAGTTATTTTTATACATTATTGGTGGCTTAATTCTTTTTTGTTGGTAAGTACAAATTTATTTACTGTAAGTCGAAAAAATTAATGACTATATAATTTATTTCAGGTAATATATTACACATGAACAAAATTATTTTATATTCCTAATTGTATTCGAAAATTTGAGGAACGTTTTCCAGGTGAATAAATGGAATGAGATTCTTTTTTGTCGTCATAAACAAATACTTGTTCAAAATTATAAAAAAAAGAAAAAGCTCTATAAGGCCCACAGTATAATAGCAAAAGATGTGCAAATTAACATGGTGCAAATTCCCAATAAATTAGTCAAAAAAACAGCACCTCAAACAGGTATGAACGGTGTTTCAAAGACTGACTGTAGCGAGGGAAATTCAAAATATATTTTTTTAGGTTTGTCGCAATGAACTAGCCATAAAGTATTGAAAACATTTCTGATAATACATCCCCTATAAAGTTTCGGTACTGCAATAATCATTTTACCTTAATTTTGTTAAACCTACCTATGGAATATTACAGATCGTTTGTGTGACGTTTATAAACTGGAGCACATAAAATGGGGGTTATTAAATGAAATACAAAATATAACTGAAGAGAAACTGCATGTGTTCAAAAAAGAATGATTAATGCTTGCATTAAAGCTGGTGGTAAAGATTTTGAACAGATAGGTACTGTGAATTAGTATCGTTTATGCACCACCGATTACTACTCAATATCCTTTCAAATAAAATGATTGTTAATAGGTATGCCTTTATAATTTAAAGTGACAGCTGTAAGGTAAAACAAATATGTGCTTGTTACATTAATAATATTAATATTTTTGTGTATACATATAAATAACAATGTATTTATATAAATAATAGAACAAACTTAAAAAATTATTTGTTTATTACTTCCCATTGCTCAGGTACAATTACAGTAAATTTTAGATTTGTTTGCTTAAACTGTAATAATTGCCAAATACTGCCATTGTCTTCTGCCTATCGTATTTAAAGTTTCAGCTGTAGCTAAATATCTTAGGAGTCAATCTAAAGTAAATAATTTTTAATTTTATTCATATTTTAATGCATAACACTTTTTGTCCATAACTTTCTTGTGCCCTGTTCTGGTAAAGGTTTTTTTTTTGTAATAATGGCAATAACTAGTACGAACCATATTTCAGTTTATTATTCTTTTCGTTAAATACAAAATAGATATAAATAGCACAGTTTTTAAGGTTATGTTAATTATATCATATAAATTAGACTATTGCATTTGACTAAATCTAAAAAAATCGAATTCTAACATTAAAATACAATAATGTAAAGCACCCCTAATTAATATTATGATTTTGTGTTGTAATTCTAACATTACCTAACTGAATTTTGTTCTCGTAGTTGAAGACCATAAAAAAAGAAGATCTATTTTGTAATAAAATACCTACGGCACTGGCTCGCATCTAGGGATTTTTACTTTTATTTTCACCAATCGCTGTCATGACGATTTGGTCACGTGGGTTTTCGGTATTGTTGAAGACCCAGTATTTCTTGACGCGGGGCGTGGCGACGAAGGTGAGAAGTAAGAGAAGGGATAGAGAGAAGAATTTTACGGAAAGAAAACTTAGTTTTATCAATGAATAACTGCGCGCGCTTATACTACATAACGTAAATGTCCATGCCGGTGTAAGCCCTGTTGCCACTTCCAATCTAACATCACTAGGTTTTGGAATTTGTTGAAAATTATTACATCTAATTTAGTTAAATTTAATATAACTAATATTCAAAATTTTTTGGGTTCAATTGCAATAAAATAGGTTGCATTATTTTAGCTTTTTAAATACAGTGCAACCTCTTTAATCCGAACACCTAATTGTCAGACCTTGTTCGGATTAACGAATATACAATAAAACACCTCTTACACATTTTTAGATCTTTAGATTTTATGTATGTAGGAGAGTGTAGGTATGTTTGGGACGATTTTTACGTTTAATTTTTATTTGTCAATGTTGATCCATCATCCTACTTATTACTTTATTAGTAACTTAAGAGAGCATCAAACACTTTTATTTTCAAGTAATTGTGGTTAGCACAAAATAAAATATCTCTCTCTACAATATGTCCCAAACATACCTGCAGATGGTATGTTTGGGACTGCAGGTAGGTATGTTAGAGACAATTAAATTATACTTGAAGTATTTTTATTTTTATAAAAAAAAAACACATGAAATATTAAATTGTTACAGATAGAAGCCTCTTATTATCTTAAATTACTTACGTCAAGATCATATAAATTAAATTTGAATATGTTTCGGTGTTCTGAAATTATAAAAACAGGTTTTACAATGTCATTTTCACTAACATTTTGAACGTCATCGATAAGAGGATAGTTAAAGGTATCAGAAACTCCACGTCTGCGGAGAAATTTAATTGTGAGACCTTTTTCTTTACTATCTCCACTATCAACTTTTAAAATTTGACCTATATAATGAACAAATGAGCAATTGCGATCTATCAAAAATTTTACAATAACATAGTCTTTTGTTTTAAAATCCCTGGATTTCTTTTCATTATCTGCACGGTCTTCAGAATATTCACTCAGAACTTCTTCTTCTTCTTCTTCATGTAGGCAGTGGTCACTTTCTTCATAAATAACCTCGTCGTCGTCATCTAATGATGAAGAAGAATCACTCTGTTTCCTGCTTCTTTTCTTAGCAACAGCTGTAGTTTTGGAAGTGCTTGACTCACCAAATACTTGCTTCTTTGTAGTTTTCATTATCTTTGCTCTAGTATTCTCTTCAATCTCATTTTTTTCTGGTGTGTCAGTTAATATTCTGGTGCGGCCCGGTTTTCGACCACCAGTTCTCTTTTTTCTAGGAGCTGCTAGTGGGAAAGGACGAACCAATTCGGGAGAAACAAATTTAGCACCCGTATCATCAACATGTTCCGAAGATGGTCCAGCGATTGCTAAATTCTCGACTTTCTCAGCATTGTTAAGCACATTATTTGGAAGTGGGCGATCGGTTACAGAAGAAGACAGAAAATCAATATCTGTAAAAATATCGGGGTTAAATGGATAAATCCCTGTTTTGGAGAAGCCACTTTCTATATTCGATTTACTGAAGGCCGGAGAATAAGCTTTTCCAACTAATTCTGCAATTTCATAAATGGTAATAGTTTTCCCAGGGTTGTTCATCATCCATTTATCTGCTTCATTATTATAAAATCGTTTAAATGCATAAAATACAGACACATCTAGTGGCTGCAGTCTGCTGCTGCAGTGCGGTGGCAAAGTAAGTAAATGTATTCCATTTTCTTTTGAAAAATTGATAACATCTATTGAAATGTGGCTCTCATGGTTATCAAAAATTAAAAGCACAGGTTTTTCTTTAGACGGATTTACGTTTGCAGCAAAATGTTTAATGTAGTCCAAGAAGATAGGTGCTATCATCCAGCCTGATGGTGACGCCCTACCTGCAGATCCATGTGGAGCATTTTTCAGCATATATTCCTTAAAGTTAACTCTAGGAAAAATAAAGAAAGGCGGAACTGAGTTTCCGATAGCGTTTATGCTGCAGCAAACCGTGACTAGGGACCCCCTCTCTGCAGAAGTTACTTTGCCAACCTGTTTTCTTCCTTTTTCTGCCACTATTTTACCAGGGTTTTGGACAGTAGTGACCCCAGTTTCATCTGCATTATACAGTTGCGAAGGATCAAAGTTGTATCGTCCATATAAAGATTCTGGCTTTTCAAAAAATTCAGATACATTTTTTCTGTTGAAGCTTGTAGCTCGAGAGAGGCTTGTCGCCTCAGGCTTTTGCAACGAAAGGTTTGGATGCCTGTTGAAGAAACCTAAACACCAAAATTTCCCAGCTGCTTTATTGGTTTGCCAAGTTTCTGGAACATTTTTATTATTAGCAATGGCAAACTGATAAGCGAGCTCCTTCGTTTGCTTTAAATCTAATCCGTAATGCATATAGCTGGCTCTAATTAAATAGTCTGCTAATTGATTTTCTTCTGCCTTTGTGAAAATCTGTCTGCTTGTATGCACAGAACCAAAAGTGGAGCTATCTGGAATATTTCTTTTTTTTATGTATCTGGAATATTTCTTTTTTTTATGTATCTGGCAAGAGTTGACTTTGGAATCTCATAGTCTTTTGCAGCTGTTCTTATGGATTTTTTGTTGTCCACAATATCAGAATAAGCTCTTTGAATAACATCTTTACTTATTATTT